TAGTCAATGATGTGAGGAATGATGGATCATTATATTATGTCACCAATGCATATTTATACAGTTTGATACTCAGAGATCAAATGTTTTTATTGAGCTACTTTGAAAACATACATGAGTCAGCATTTGAGCTTAAAGTAAGAAGAATTATAAGAATCTTTCTAAGATTTTTTATTGTATGACTTCCAACAACAATTGAAAGAAAGTTAGTGCTCACAAATTTGATGATGCATGTTACAAGAAGTGATGACAATGTTGTTTGTGCTATGAGATTTATAAACTTTCCAAAAGTGGGATTTTCCTTTAGGTGTCCAAATACATATATTGTGAAGATGGTAAGGATTTTTGATATCCTCGACGCTTGTTTCAGTTCTTTAAAACCTTGACCAAAACGTCCAGAAGAAGTACCAAAACTGTTAAAAACCAACATAAGACATATTTGGGCAAACATAAGAGCAAAACAAACATTAAGAGCAAATATTTGGGCAAACATAAGACATAAAGGATCTCTAAACAAATTATTTAGTAGCTTAAATAAAAACATACTGCAAACTAAGCAAGAGCAAAACAAACATTAAAAGCAAAACTGGTAAAAAGAGAATAAACAAACCCAAATCAAGAGCATATTTCAAGCAAACCCAAATCATTATCTGTTTGGGTTTTGCTGATTTCATCAAGAGCATATTTCAAGCAAACCCAAATCATCTAAACCCTAAATCATTATTCATCAAAAATAAATGAAATCGCATTTTGTTAACTGAAATGGCAGATGGATAGCGAGGGTAAAACAAAGAGCTTTCAATAGTGATTTGGGTTGTGATGGACGATTGAACGATGCGGTGATGGACGATTGAACGATGCGGTGATGGAGAGCTAGGGTAAAACAGAGAGAGACGATGCGATGGAAAGCGATGGAAACTCTTTTTAAAGGGAATCATCATCTAGGAGGGAATCATCATCTGGGGAGTGGGAGAAATCCTGAATCGTCGGGAGAAATCCTGAATCGTCTTTGGGAGGGAGGATTTTCTGAAACGTCGTCTTGGGGAGGGGAGTCGAGTAAAGGGAAGCGACCTTTTGGGATAAAGAGGAAGAGTTAAAAAGTGAAGGTAAAGTAAAGGGTATTTTGGGTATTTAAAATTTTAAGACTTTAAGACTTTTAGTGAATTTGCTTAATAAGACTAGAAGCGTACTCGCGCAATGCAGCGAGATACATCGTGATTTTAATATTTCATTTTATT